TTATGTGTTCAATATATTTAACATGAAACTATATGTAGAGTAAGATACCAATTTTTTAAAGGTAGTATATAAAATGTTATTGTACCTCACTTTTACTGTGTGCTCACACGTGTATTCCAGATTAAAAGAAAACACATCAAAATGTCATTGTCCTGTTTATTTCCAAGTGGTAAGGTTACAGGTAATTTTTATTTCTTTATAAATTTAGATATCTATTAAGTTGTCTATTATGAATACACATCACATTTACAATTAGAAAAGCTACCAATGGGCCGAAACCAGTTTGGCTCAGTGTAGAGCATCGGTCTGCGGACTGAAAGGTCCCAGGTTCGATTCTGGTCAAGGGCATGGACCTTGGTTGAGGGCACATCCCCGATGGGGGTGTGCAAGAGGCAGCTGGTCGATGTTTCTCTCTCATTGACGTTTCTAGCTCTCTATCTCACTCCCTTCCTCTCTGTAAAAAAATCAATAAAATATATATTAAAAAAAAAAAAAGCTACCAATAGGAATTCTTTGCTTTGACAGATTATGATTGAACAGTTTTCACAATATACTGATAGACACTAACTGTAACTCACATTTCATCCCAGTGACTTGTTCTTACTAGTAACACCTTTACTTTTCTGTTGACTTTACAATGGATAAACAATAATTATTCTCAAAAATTGCAATATTTAAAACTATAAATTGTCCAGAAAGCTTTATAGAAATCTAACAAGCCGAAACCGGTTTGGCTCAATGGATAGAGCATCGGCTTGGGGACTGAAGAGTCCCGGGTTCGAATCCGGGCAAGGGCATGTACCTTGGTTCCAGGCATATCCCCAGTAGGGGGTGTGCAAGAGACAGCTGATCGATGACTCATCGATGTTTCTAACTATCTCTCTCCCTTCCTCTCTGTAAAATATATTTTTTTAAAAATTAAAAAAAGAAAAAAGAAATCTAACAAAACTGTAAATATCAAGATGACCTTGAATGAAAACAACAGCAAAAATTACCTCTAAGGTCTTTCAATTTATAATACAAAGGAAAGGCATACTACTTTTTTCTAGTCCTAATATTATAATCTTCCTAAATTAGAGAAATTGTTTTTTAATTTAATGAATAAATGATGTGCCAACATATAAAGCTTTCTATTTTGTTTGAATCAACTTTGTGACTTATGCGTTATTTAAAAGACCACATTCTCACATTATTTTCTATACTACCAAAAATAGTTTCAAATTTAATATTGATACTAATAATTTCCAGGTTCCTCTGAACTGCCATCTAGGAAGATAATGCAAAATGAACATGTTGTAAGTACCTATTTTATGCTTTTATTTTTAAACTTCTAACAGCTATAACACAACGAGCTGTCCTAAAACTTCTAAAAAGGAAGAATCAGTCTAAGTATAAGCAACACTTTAATAAATATCCTACAACTTACTCCAGGATTTTTCTATAAGAAAATGCTACAGAATGAAAAACAAACTTACAACTAATTCCCTATCCTGTGTGACTTGCAAGACTATTAAGCAGCTTTCCTGTATGTATGTCCTGGTAGTTTTAAGTTAACTATTACTTTCCCTAAGAAAGAAAAACCTATTATCAAGATCAAAGCTGTTTCCCCAAATCTGGCAAATATGTAGCTGGAAAAACAAAAACATTAGTCATTAAGTTCTTGTGAGCTTATATACATAAAAAATAATCTTAAAACTTAATTGCTTACTAATGTCAGTCACTTTATGGGTTCCATCTAATGATAACCTCCACATCATTCCCTGTCCACCACACAGGTAGAGGCTCTGGTAATCTCATCTAGAATTATGGAGTGGACATAACAATCAGAGATCCTTTATCAACAAGTAACTGAACCCATTTCCATCAGTCCCTTTCAAAATGTGTCTTAACTTTGAAGGCTAAGCCAATTAAGGCAAATCAGAAGAGAGGCTAGCACTTCCATTCAAATATATCCCCTTCAAACCAATCAATCTTTCCAAGCTCATGTGGACAAAATCTTGGACAGTACAGATGGTGAGGAATGGCTTTTCAGAGAAAAGGACAAAAAGTTCATCTGACAGTAACTAATCCTACATAGTGGAACAAAAGCTCGGGGTGGAGACACATGGCAACATCAAGGGAAGAGTAGAAACTCCTTGGGGCAGCATTCTCTGGTCCAAATCCACTTTGTTTTCAGGAGTTTGGCAACTTATAGCCTCTTTCCTTAAAATAGTTTTGTGGCCCTTGCTGTTACTTTGGGTATCCCCAAATCAGAAAGATGTTAAATGATATATGTACTTTGTACACTGCAGGAAAGCTCAAAAACTGGGATAAACTTTTCCTTCATCAACAATGTATAAAGACAGAAATTTGCTTTGTTTTCCATCTTAAAAAGAGCAAATTTCTCTTGAAATTTTATGAAAAGGCTTACTTAAAATGTAAATTGTGCATAAACCTGAAATGGTGTAACTTCTATTCTTGTGAACAATGATGAAAATACACTTAAAACATGCACTCAAAACACTAAAAATGCCGCATTCTACAGATGAGATTGTGTCTGGAATAGATTTACATGACTATAAAATATAAGTTCACTTACCACTCTATTCTGCAATACAAACAAAACAATCCCCAAACATTTTTATATGTTTTGCACATCAATTTTATAAAACAGAATCTGAAATGAGCACTTCAGACCTTTGGTTAAACTATAATTTCCCTTAAGTCATAGTAACTATATATCCAAATGGTAAAATACAGTATTTGTATGTACATATGTACACACATAAACAATATTTTTTCTTTATGGAACACTATGTATTTTCTACTAACTACCAATTTATGCAGACTACAGTTAAGCAAAAGATCACTAACCTGAAATAAAAGAAAAATTTTGAAGGTCTATAAATACTCATTTACCAATGTGAAATACCACACCACTGAGGCATATCTCTATCCTTAAGGAAATATGACTTAAAAATTTATATAATAAAAAAAATAATTGTTCTTTTCACTGGCAACTACGTATATTACTAATTATGAAATAATAAAGTCTACACTTTTAAAAATTAGCAAATATTAACTACTGAATATCAAACACTAGTCACAAACTTCATTAAAGGCTTTTAGAAAAACTTAAAAGGGCAAAAAGTCAAGACAGAAAGGGTCCAAATTAGTTCATAACCATATGCTATTTAAAAATTCCCTAAAACAGTGTCTGGCACATGGTACTCAGTATTTGTTGAATGAATGAAGGAATGGGAGAACAGGTAGGAACAAGCTAAGATACTGAGTTGAAAATACATAGATAAAGGTAGAACCAGCTAACCAGAACATTAGCATAAGTAGATGTCAAATGTGAGCTATTCCACATTTTAGTAATAATCTGAAATAGAACTCACACTCCAAGAATAGCAAACTTTTCCTTGAAAACTTGTTGCATGAACTTATTGAAAAAACTAAATAATTTTAAATTCTGCTAAAGAGATAGAACTGATTCAGTAGGAAAACTAACATTTCTCGCAAATTCATAACACTATTCCCTTAATGGGAAAACATGCTAGTGGACTTCTTTTGTCAGCATTTCTTTCTTTGTAGTTCCTCACATTTACTTAGGAAAAAAAAACTTCAAAATTACAAAAATCCCTTCAAAACATTTAATCCTCCCGAGTATATCCCACCTTGTTTACATAAAGCAGCAAGTGTCCACACATCGACATTACTGTTTACAATGTCATAGTCTGCATCAGGTATATTGTTTCCAATTTTAAGAATTCAGAAAGGTCAAGTTCCTTGAGTGAATTTCTTACTTAAATCCGAAAAACTATATTATTAATGAAGTCTCTCCTCACCGCAACCTACGCTTGAGAAAAAATCATGCTTTAAAAAGTGAGTACACACCTCCTCTCCCTTTTCCTCCTCACAGGAGTGTGTCTATGATTCTAGGAAAGGAAAAGCAAGGTCTTTCTGTAGTTTGACTATTGTTAAGTTCAAGTGCTAGTCTTTCCTGACACATAGGTGTTACTGTAGCGACAAGAGCAGGTATGTCCAGTTTCTCTTACACCAGCAGTTTACAGGCTTGCCACTGACTGGATCATATAACTTAAAACACTACATAACTCAACACCGCAAGCGTACGACTCAATACTAATAAAAAGTTTCTAAACAGAATACATTTGCAGGCACTAACACCTATAGAGTAAAGCAACCCAGGGTGGCGATTTTATTCATTCTTTTGGGCTTCCAGGTCTGAGAAACAGGGAACCAACTTGCCCCATTTGTTCCCGCTTGCCGCTAAAGAGATAGAACTGATTCAGTAGGAAAACTAACATTTAATGGGCGGATTTCTGCACAGGAGAGTTTGTCAAGTGCTTTGAAAGCTTGTGGATGAAAGATGCTATAAATACAACTGATATTACTAGTATGTTTCTATTGAGCATTACGTGGAACCACTGTCACTGCGCTGAGGATAGGGTTGGTGGCATAAACGCTTCCTGGGGAAGGGGGGGAGAGGACCGTCCCCTTCATCATCCTGGAGGTTTGGCCGGCCGTCATTTGGACCGGCTTGTTTTGTGAAACCACACGTGAAAAGTTACACACAGGCCCCACACAAGGATTAAGACAGTCCCCATGCCCGTGGGTCTGCGGGTCCCGGGAGCCGAGCCGGGAGAGGAGTGTTAGCTGTTGGGCCTACACCCCCATAAGGTGGGGAGGTGCTGGGATCGGCCAAGGGGCCCCGGCCACAGCCGACGCCCGCGGGGCGGCCGGAGGCGCCGCGATGGGTGGGGGCGCGTCGCCGGATCGGGCGCCGGGCGCGGGGAACGGCCCGGGAGGGCGACCGCGCCAGGGCCGGGGCCCCGCGCAGCCCCGTTGCCGGGAAGGCTCGCGCCCCGCGGCCGGCGGCGTGGGGGAGGGGAGGCCGGGCCTGCGGCCTGTTGGGGGGGGAGTTCAGCCCGGGCCTCGCGTGCGACTCTCAGCCGGGCCCCCGGCCCAGGGGTCCCCGGTGCCCAATAGAGACTCACCGGAAAGGCCCGGATCCGCATCTTGGTGTCCTTTCGGCTGCCCGTGCCTTTGCTCAGATTCGACATGGTGCTCGTCCCCTCCCCGGCGGCGGCTGTGGGTCGCACTCCGAGGCGCCGGTGTCACATTTAAGGCGGGCGGGCGGACGAGGGGCGACGCTGGGGGCGGCGGCGCGGCCCCCGGTTGGGCTGGGGAGCTGGCCGGCCCCTGGGCGGCCGCGGCGGAGGCGGCGGCGACTCGGGCTCCGGCGGCTGGGGCTCAGCTGCGGGGGGGGGGGGGGGGGGCCTGCGCTGACGCGGCTGCTCCGCGGGGTCCCCCTCACGCCCGGCTCAGCTCCCTTTATCGCGCTCCTCCGCGATGGCGGCGGCGGCGGCGACGGACAAACATCTCACTGCGCAAGCCGAACGTCCTCCTTCTCCTCCTCCGCCTCAGCGAGACGAGATCCGGCCCAGAGGGTGGAGGGGGGAGGAGGGAGGGAGGAGAGCCGGAGAGTGGAGAGATTGGGGGGAGGGAGGTGGGAGGACAGAAGGAGGCGGACGGCCGCCGCGGGAGGGACGCTCAGTTCTCGCGAGAAGAGGGCAAGCGCGCGATCCCGGGCGAGGCGGGGCGAAGCCCGGGGGCGGGGGGCCGCGGGAGGAGGGGAGGCGGGGGTTGGGGAAGTGGGAGGGGCCGGCGGGGCGGGGAGGCGGAGAAGGGGCGGGGCTGAGTGCGAGAGGAGTAAGTTGTCTTTTCGACGGGGGAGCGTCGGAGACCGGGTTGTGGGCGGAGGTAGTGGCTGATTGGTGGGGTGTGGAGGTCACGTGGGCCTGGTGGGCGGAGGAAGTAGGGAGAGCCTCAGTTGACCGTATAGTGGGCTGGGTCCTGCTGGGCTGGCTTAGGGCGGGGGCTGGGGCCGGGGTTAGGGCGGGAGGATAGTCTCTGGGAGGAGCGTGGGTGCAAGGTGGATCGCTAACGTTCTAGAACTGGTTCCTATGTTTTTCTAGGGCATGTGGACGAGGGATGGGTTCTTGAGCAGAAGCGAGGAAGTTGGAAGAGGAGTTTGTGCAGGAGTCACCTGAAGGGTCAGAAGTTAGGGTCCTGTATGCTTAAGAAAAATATTCAATTCATATGTACAGCACCCCAGCTCTAGGATTCAGGGGTGGAGATGTTAATCCACAAAATTTCCTTAAACTGCAGAAGCTCCGGGGCCTCCTGAATCCCTGATATTCTCTGAGGGAACCAGGACTTCTGAGTCTTAAAGTTTATTTACCGTACCATAAAACTGACAACTCCTTTAATGTAGTGCGATATTTTGGTAAATGGTGTTGAATAGAAGATTGGATGACAGAAACCTATATTTAACCTAACAATTATTTTTACCACTATGAAGAGTACTGTAAGTTTTGAAAAGACAAAATTTATTGTCTTTAATTCAATTTGCTGCAAATTTGGATCCCCCCCACTCACGCGATTGTAGTCCAAAAGTCTAGTTTGAATCAGCAGTCTTGAATTTTACTGTCTAATTTGCCACTTTCCCAAATGATGTTATATTTTGGATTTCTGATGCTGCAAACAAATGTGAGTTTCCACTAAAGTTTGTGATCTATTCGTTTTAAGAGCCTACCGTTGGAATGAGTATCAATATTTGGAAGCTGGGCTTTTTAATACTTAAAATTAGCATTTCAAAGCTGGGGTACGTGTATATACATATATGTATATATTTTAAACAGGTAAACTTAAATGTGCTTTTCTACTTGTTTACTATAAAGTTGAATTTGCCCTAAATTAACTTAATCTTGATGACTAAATTTGAACGTATGCTTTCATTTCTTACTTGGTTGAAATGCCCATTTGAAAATATATTTTCTTGTTTTGTTTTTTGTTATTAGCTAATCAAAACACGAGCTTAAGAAATGAGCAATGCCTGTGTAAACACTGAAGCTAAAAATAGGTCATCACTAACTGGAATAATAAGGTAAGATTGGGAGGGGCTCTGATTTAAATATAAGATAAGAGTCAGTGTATAATCTGTATGGTGATTGAACATCCATTTGTATGATCATTAGACTATATCAACAATGTTTTTTATTGGTTGTACAGTCAAATGGCCCAGTTTCTTTAATATAAGAATATATGTTGTGGAGCCATGGGTTTATTATGTGTCTTTTGGGGAAAGGACTTGATTGTGCCTGGATAATAAAGCTTTCTTCTTGAGCCGCTATGAAATTTAAATGATTTCATACATTTCAAAAAGCCTGAGAGCAGTGCTCAACACAGAATAGCCACTCAATATCTGTCAGCTATTTTTTTAAAATATATTTTTATTGATTTCAGAGAGAGGAAGGAAGAGGGGGAGAGAGAGAAACACTGGTTGACTATGTCCTGCATGCCCCTTACTAGGGATTGAGCCCATAATCCGGGCAACATGCCCTGACCAGGAATCGAACCCACAACCTTCTAGTGCTTGGGATGATGCTCAATCAAATGAGCTACACAGGCTGGGCTTACCTGTTGGCTCTTATTATCATGGATAATTAAAGCCGAGATTATACCGTCTTCCTTTATTCAATATGTTAAATTTCTTTAAAAAAATACTTCTATGCTTTTATACAATGAATTTTATTTTAAACTGTGCCAGTCTTTAACACTTGGATTTCACAAAACAAAGTATTTTTAAAAACCTGGGAAATGAATATATGTTTCTCCAACTTTATTTTGGCAAGTAAGGGCATTAAAAAGGAATAAGTAGCATAAAATAGGTCTATAGTGTGTGTGTGTTTGTGTGTGTGTGTGTGTGTGTGTATACTAGAGGCCCAGTGCACCAAATTTGTGCAGGGGGAGAGAGGGTGTCTCTTAGCCCAGCCTGTGCCCTCTTGTAATCCGGGACTCCTCGGGTAGGTCCCTAGGCCTGACCAGTGATCAGGACCTATTTGGGCTTTCCTTCCCCTGGCTGCCAGTAGCTGTCCCCACCCCTGCTGCTGCCACTGCTTGCCATCTATGAGGTGCTGCCCCCCACCTTACCCCCATCACCTGTCCCCTCTTTCTGTGGGCAACAGGAATGGGGTGTGATCACTTGGCTGGCCTGGGCCTCCTTCTGCAGGGCAATCGCTGACCAGCCCTGCATACCTACCACAGTATTGCTGGCTAGTGGCCTGGGCCTCTCTCTGTGCGGTGATTGATCACAGGGCCCCCAGATCAATCGCCCTGCAGAGAGAGGCCCTGCCCACACAGTCAGGGCTCCACAATTGATTGCCAGGCAGAAGGTGGCCTGGGTCTCCCTCTTTGGGGCGATTGCAGAGCCCCCTCGCCCAGTTGATCAATCCTCTGGCCCGTGGCCTGGGCCACCCTCTGGGGCAATCATGGGGCCTCTCAACCAATTGCATTGCATCTGCCTTGGTTGGCCTGGTGCCAGTGCATGTCATAGTGTGGTCGTCCAGAAGGTTGTCCAGATGGTCATTCTGCTGTTCGGTCGGTAAGTCGATTTGCATATTATGCTTTGATTATTATAGATACATAGATAGTATTTTAACCACATAAATTGGAGGAGATCAATTTTTGAATAAAGTACAGTTTCTTAAATTTACCTTATGAAGACTAGTACAAAGCTGATATTTCTCATTTCACTTTGAACCTGAGGAACCATCATGAGCCAACATTTAGTAAGCCTCTACATTAAGGCATATTTCCATGTAATTGTGATTCATATCATCACCTTTTAATTTATTTGTTTTGTGCACACAGATTTTCATATGTTGGTTTTTGTTTAACCACAATTTGCATTTAAAAGAGTCACTATCAATTATGTCTTCTGGTAGTCTTTTAACTACAAAGACCCCCAAAAAAAACTCTTTAAAAAAATGAATTCATTTGCCATTGCCATTAAGAAATCTACTGCTCATTTATTTGTTCACTTATTTCTTCATTTATTCAAGAAGTATTTAATAGCTGCTATAGATTAGCACTAAGGCGAATGAGATAGATGAGGCCTCCCATCTCAGAACATAAAGTTCTCCCCCTCCCCCCTTGAAATCTGAAAACCGTAGTCCCAAATTGGATTGGACAACAACTGCCTATACACTGCAATCCAGAAATCAGACTTGTTTTTTCTTCCTAGGAAACCAGCATCCTCAAAATCTATGTGAAACACTCTGAAGCAGCAGCAGGCTATTCTCCTATGCCCAATGATATCTCTGACTTGCAACTAGCAAATTAACTTTCAGGATATTAGTTTTTCTGCCAACTGCCACCTGATCTAGCAGAGAAAGCAGGGCTGGCATTAGAACTCACTAGCTATTGAATGCCTGCCGGTTGGTATTCCTATTTATGCAGGCAGTGTCCTGGCACAGGAGAACAGTGGCCCTATTTCCACTTATTCCTATGGAGCTGTACACTCAAAGCTGGGAGCCCAAGGCCAGCCCCTGTTCTACATCTCAGGGTAGAACTTGACATTATGCACTGTGAGAAGCCAGTGAAAGGGATAGCCTCTTCTTGGCCCTGAGTTTCTAGGTATCCAGGATACCAAGCCACTTTAATGACTGTATCAGACCTGCTTGCTGATTTGATTGTGCTGATATTGGTTTTTAAAACAACTGATAGCCTACCAATTCACTTACAAAGACCTCTTCAAAGGTTTTGAATAGACAAAGACTGATAGGAAAAAGATGTGTGTTTTTCAAATTGGAAGGGAAATATTTATAATATTATTGCTTCCTTGAAAGTAAGAGCTAGATTGTCTCCACCAGGCCACCAAAAAGTATTGCAGGCCATTAGCTTTGTACATACTTAGAGCAGTAGTATTGTACGCTCTTTATAAGATGACGTATTAGAGGAGTATCCCATGAAACATAACCACAGACAGTTCCATATGAAAACTGTAGTAGGTCTTCTCCATGCCCCTTTTCTAATTACTATTTTCCTACATACATCATCAAGACAAGAAGCATATAAGACATAAGAACATATGAAACAAGTTACACATTTAAAGATTTTTCTTGAATTAAAGAAAAATCTTTAAATGTGTGTTATAAATACTCATCTCAATTTTTCATCACATTGTCATGCTAAATAAAATCATCTCACTGTCAGCTCT